GATTGTGTTGGTTTCGGTTCGTAAGGCTGGTGTCTATTTTACTGTTATATGTTTCTTTATTTTTGTTTTTTCTTGTCTGAAGGTTTGTCTACAAAGGAAGGCGCTGGTGCTGAAGGCATGTGGCCGTGTTTTGTTTCACTGAGCGGACGCCCACGGGGAGGCCCACTTTGACGTTGTTTGTTTGTTTGTTTTTGACACGGGAACCCGCACAGCGGTTGTGTGGTTGTGCCCACGGGTGCCCTCGTGGGGCAACAGGACAGGTTCGTTGCGCCCCGTTTTTGGGCGTATGCCCTGCTTCCTGTGCTGTGAGCTCCCCAGGGGCAGCAAAGCCAGCTGGTGTTGCGGTGCTCGGTGCGTGGGGTTACACATGCACCTGCGCGGGGCCGGCGGTTGATGGGTGTGTGCTTTTTTTTTTGCGGGGCAATAGTCACTTGGGCCGCTCCCATGGTTGTGGTGCCTGCGCGTCTGCCGCACTTTGGATGGTGTGCGCGAGGGGCTGGGGACGCGCTTTGTTTCGTCCGAGGGCTTGCCAGCGACGAGGGAGACTCCAAGGCCCGCATGGGTTCCACAGGGCGAGGTGCGGCACAAATTGCGCGACTGCTGGCGAGGGGTCTGTGGGGGGCAGCCGCTGTGCGGTGTCGCGCGCATAGGGCTGCGCTCTGTGTACAACGTGCTGGAAGAAGACATTTTTTTCCGGCTTTTTGACTTGGAGGGTCTTTTCTATTGCTTCACACCGTGGGTGGAGGGCGCGTGTCTTTGAGAGGGAACGACGGGGTCGTGAGGAAAGGAGTTTCTAGCGATGCGTGTCGCCGTGTGGGTTGTGGCAGGCGTGCTCCCTGCTGGGATACTCGTCGTGTCTGTGCGACACTCCCAGCGTCGCGGCCGTGCGGACGTCGGGGCAGAGGCGGTGTTTTTGTGGTTGCGCTCTTAACGGCGGCGGATTTTTGGCGATGAGTGGAGGTGGTGTTGGCGGCGAGGTCATTTTGGTGCCGGGGGAAATTCCTGAAGGGCCCTTCCTCCCCATTTCTTTGTTGCTTGTTTGCAAACAAGTTTTCTGCCCAGTCACAGTGAAAGGTTGAATCGTGTGGATGCGACGGGCCGTACGAGTGTCTGATGCTGCGTTGCTGTGCATCTTGTTTCTCTATTCCGCCTACGCCTGACGCCCTTTGCGACGGGGCATCTGAGACGTTTGGCTGCGGAGTGTGGTTGGTTGCCCCCATGTTGCTTGCGGGGGTCAACTGTGGTGTGTGAGCGTGAGTGGTTGAGGTGCAGCGAAAGGGTTTGCCTTCTGCTGCGGGGGACCCGATTTCCGCTGCGGTGGTGTTGTGCGCGGTGAGGTGGAGTCGTGCGGCATGCGCGTGGGCGCAACACTTCACGCAGCATAAATGGGGACGACGCGCTGCCGACGGTGTTGGTTGCCTCGTTTTCCGTCGTGTGCGCCTCTGGGCACACGGGTGGCCACGGGCGCGTCTTGGCCGTGGTTGTTTTTGGTGCGTGCGTGTGTGTGTGCTCGTCGGTGGGCCAGACGCTCACTCTTTTTTTTTTTTATTTGGTGTCCTTAACCTCACACTAGACACGAATCGGAGTACAACGACACAATACGCAAGTGAAGCACAGAAGGAAAGAAGGGAACGAGACGCCACGCAAAGGAAAGGCACGAGGAATGCGTCACACTCTGCACGTCCTGTTGCTGCTGTTGCTGCTGCTTTGCTGCTGCACCGGTTCTTTTGCAGTCGCTGAGCATCGCTGCATATTTGACCGCATTTCTCGCAAGGCTGGCCCCCCGATGAGGGCAGTTGTGCTTGAATTGCCGAGCCGGGAGCGTGGCGTGACTCAGGTGTTGACTGCCTCTGGGCCCGATTGGGCGCCCATCCGTTTTAAGGTCTCCTCCGAGGACATGAACAATCCTTCCAAGTACTGCACCGCTGCGGGAGATGTCCGCTCGGACTTTGAAGGAGGAATCCGTATGTGCTTGCAGCAGGATGTTCTTACGGCCGAAAAAAAGTTCATCACCTTGAATCGGTTGATTCCAGGAGCCATCAAGATGCACACGGATCGTCTCCACGTTCAACCGCTTATGCTAGGACTGCGTGTGCCTAATTATACATCTGAAACAGCATGCGGTAGTTTTACTATACCCAGCTCCCACCACACAACGGGCGTGTTTGGCGCGGACATATTTTTGTACGCCGCTGCTGCCCCGACTGAGCCTCCTAGTATTGCGTGGGCATTGGGGTGCTCCTTTTTGCCCGATGGACGTCCTGTGGCCGGGGTGATAAATATTGGACCCCATGCAGTCATCGATTCGGATTCCACTGTTCGTGTCGCGGCGCATGAGATCGCGCACGTGCTTGGGTTTGCCACGTATGTTTTTAATCCCATGAACATGGTAAAGACAATACCTGGGGTTCGTGGAAAAAAGAATGTGGTTGTTGTGTCTTCACCCAAGACGGTGGAAAAGACTCGTGCGCACTTCAACTGCACAAGTGCCCCTGGAATGGAGCTGGAGGATGGGGGCGGGGGTATAAGGCCATCGTCGCATTGGGAGAGACGCAACGCGAAGGACGAGCTGATGGCTTCCATGAAAGGTGCCGGCTACTACACGGCGCTGACGATGGCTGCTTTTGATGACATGGGCTTTTACAGGGCGCAGTGGAGCATGGCGGAACAGATGCCATGGGGCAGCAACTTCGGCTGCAAACTGCTGACGGAGAAGTGCCTGATTAATGGCGTCACCCAGTACCCGGAAATGTTTTGCGACTCCACAAGCAATCTTTTGGAATGCACATCGGATCGTGTTGCCCTGGGGAGCTGTAAGATTGTTGGCTACGACGACCCCCTTCCCGCACAGTTTCAGTACTTCACGGATCCCAGAGTCGGCGGGCGCTCTGCCGACCTAACGGACTGCTGCCCCTTCATTGTCCCGTTGCCAAACATGTGGTGCGTCGATGGTGATGCATATTTAATGCGTGGAAGCCGCATTGGCCCAAGATCAAAGTGCTTAAAAACGTATTACCTGCGTGATCTTCATGGTCTCATTGGGGACGTCTGTGCTGAGGTGGCGTGCGACACCGACGAGTTGCTTGTGCGGTACCTTGGTGATGAGACCTGGCATGCATGCCCAGAGGGCAGCACTATCACACCAACTTCGCCGTTCTTCAGGGACGGGGAGATTGTGTGCCCGAAGCGCAGTGAAGTGTGTTATGTCCACTAGACACGAGTGCTGGCGCTGATGTGAGTCAGTTGGTATCGATTTTCCCCTCAATTTCAGTGGTCATGCTGGTCACGGTGTTAGTATTAATGTGTTGATCATAGGATATTCAGCGCGTTTCGCAAACGCCAAATTTGTGATGTTTGGGTTCGTGCTGGGGGCAGGCAGCTCCAAGCGACAACGCCTTTCTCTCTTTTCCCCCCTTGAAGATAAAACTGACATAAAAATAACAAATAAAAATGTGTGTTTTTTCCCCCTTGTTTCTACCACATGTGTCTAATAGGTGTGTGCGGGTGTGGGTGTGTGTTTAAAAAAGAAACAGTTACTGCAAGCGAGGGAAAAGGGAATACAGCGGTGTGCCTAACACACAGCGCTTAGGAAAAGTTATCTTCATTGTGTCGGAGATTATTATTATTATTATTATTATTTTGTGTTGGGGGGAGTTGTGGGGAGTGGCAATGATTTTAATTTTGTTATTATTGTTGTTGGGGGCCTTTCAGGGGAATGGCCCCGGTTTGGCGCGCGTGCGGTGGAGCAACACCCCGGTGTGATTATCTCGGATGTGCCATTGCGTATCGTTGCTCTCAGTGCATGATTTTTGAAGGACAATTAAGTTCATGGGCAGGTTTGTTTACTGCCTCCCGCACACGCTGCACCGCACACTTTTTGAGGTAAATAGGGCAGCCGCGGCCGAATGGCCCAACGGCTTGTTTACCACGCTTTTGCTTGGCACATTCCCCGCAATTGAGTTGCCATTGCTGGGGGCTCTTGGGCCGTGGGCGGAGCAAAAAAAGAAAGAAAATGGATTTTGCCTTTCCGTGGCATTTTTGCCATGTTGGCGGGCTGAGAGTTCATGAGAGCGGTTGGTGGCGCACCGTTGGCCTTTTCGTAGTGAGTAGCCGGCTCTCGGAGAGGGTGCGTCGGGGTGACCCCACTCGCAATAATGCGCCCGGGGCCTCACTGGTGGATGAAGGCTTCCGCGAGCAACGGCGTGCCCGCGTTCAGTTCCAGGCGGTGCGGCAGCGGCTGGGAGTGGTGCAGCCGCTGCCCCGCCAAGGGGCCACTCGGGCAGAAGGTTTGGGCCACACGTGGGCGCGCTTGCGGCGGTGCCTGCGGCACAGGCGGCTGGTGGAAAAACGCATTGCAGGCACTTGTCGGCGGAAGGTGCGATCGGGCGGCTCCCCGGCACTGGGCGGAGCCTGGGGAGCTCTGGGGGCACCGCGCGCAAAAACCCCAGTGCCCTCGACAGCGCCCAGGCCGCCGTTGCGGGAGCGAGTCAACCAGGGCGCCCCCGGCCCCAGGTGCCGGAGGATTGGAAAGCGTAGCGGAACGCGGCGCCCCCTGCGCCGAGGCACCTGTGCGCTGCGACGCTCAACGTGCCGGGGAGGTCCTGTTGAAGGCCGGGTTCTGCGCTGGGCGATGCGGCGGCCGTCTGCGGCGCTCGCGCTGGCCTGCGCGCATGGTCGTGGGGAGCGCCCTGGCTGCGCTCGGCCCGGCCCT